TAAATACTCTAACCAATATCTTTGCATATGGCCACGTTTTTGCATATTTGTGCAGTATAACTATGGGATAAATTAGTGGAGAAAAGACTCTGTGCACCTTTTGATATTTTGATAAATTTTGATATTATCAAATTACCCTCGAAAGAGGGCACTTCCTCCAATGTAAAGGAAGATGTCCTGCCTCCCAAAACCATAATACCATATTGGCCTTAAAAGCCTCTGATAGTATTAATAGGTAAAAATAGTATCTGGCTTTATTTTGTTCTTTAATTGCGTGTAAGGTTGAGCATTTTTATCACATAATTGGCTATTTTAAAATAATTATTTATTTATTTTGAGAGAGAGTGGGGGGGTGGAGGGGGCAGAGAGAGAGAGAGAGAGAGAGAGAGAGAGAGAGAGAATCCCAAGCAGGCTCCCCACTGTCAGCATGGAGCCCTTCTGAGGGCTCCATTTCACCGACTGTCAGATCATGACCTGAGCAGAAATCAAGGTGAAGCTCAACCAACTGGGCCACCCAGGCCCCCGGCATATAATTGGCTATTTTTATTTATATTTCCATTCCTGCTGTTTGCCTCTTTTTCTCTTGTGTTTTTCTTATTGTTTTTTAAAAAAAAAAAATCCTACTGATCTTTTGATTTGTAATGTCTTTTAATACGAAGGAAGTTAACCTTTTTTTGTCTATCATCCCTGGCAAATACTTCTATGTTTTTGTACTTTACTGTGTTTATAGTATTTTTTTTCCCCTCTGTCGAAGTTTTACACTTTTTGTGTATTCAGAATCAGTCTTTCCCTTTATAGCTTCTTCCCAACTCTAAGATTCTACAAAATTCAACAGTGCCTTCTCTCCTAGTTGCCCTTTTTATGTTTGAACGTCTGATCCACCTGAAATTGATAGAACTAACTACCCTTGGGGATAGTGGTTGCCACTAACCAGTCCCCCTTGCACCGCCTCACTCACCGGCCTCAGCACTCGGCACACCTCCTGGAGGATCTGCTCCGGGTTCTGCACGGAGCACAGGACCAGGGTGCAGACCACCACATCCACGGAGCCATCGGCCACCTGCTGCATGTTCTCCCCCGCAGCCACCACGAAGCGCTCGAACTGCAGGTGTCGGTTCTCGGCGACGCTCTTGATCAAGAACTTCTCAAAGTTGGGGTTGGGGTCGATACAAGTCACCCTGCATCCAGCCGGGTAGAACTTGAAGTTGGCCCCGGTGCCGCAGCCCACTTCCAGCAGAGAGAGCTTCCCGGAGGGGCCCGCAAACTCGGGCAGGTTGCTGAAGAGCTCGCGCTTCTTGCTCGCCATCTGTTCGTTGTACATCACGGTGAACCTCCGCAAGAAGTAGGGGAACCATTTTTTGCATATCTGGTTCCACAAGCCCAGAAGGTTCAGCAGGAACATGGGAAATAACAGGATGCCGATGGCCAGCCGGAGGGTAAAGATGATAAGCGCCATCACCAACAAGAGAAAAAGATCAACGGGTTAGAGACCCAGCAACCAGACTCCTTTATTGCAGGAGGTAGGCTTCTAGCCAGAGCCAATCCGCTGCGGAGGAAAGAAGAATTGGCCGGGCTAGAGAGACACAGCTCAAGTCAAATCGTGGGCGAGAGGCCCATTTCACCTAATTAATAGGCGCTGGGCAAAAGATTCAGCTTCGTTTTCAGGAAGCGAAGTGAGAAATTTCCCAGCTTCTCCTTAGAAGGAAAGTTGATTACAGTCCCTTCTTCCAGATCTATTGCTGCTTCTCCTTCTCTGGGTTTGGAAACTAGCGCTGGTTTCCTGCTGGAGTGTTATATGCACGCTGCTCTCGTACACACCCCATCCGGGTCCTCCAATGACATCTGCAAAGAAACCAGAACCCGTGGGTGGAGCCTGGCTAAACCGTACTAGGAGGCTGCTGCCAAGTGACCGCCTCCTGTCACCCTTTGGTCCCTCTCCTCCCCCAGCCCTGTTTTTAAAAAGAGGAAATGAGAAGACACGCTTGCCTGACCACAGTTAACGAGAGTTTCCCCCCTTTTGCATTCTGGATCGAGGCTCTCAGACGTTCATAACTCAACAGGATTATTTTTGAGTCACAGTTCTGGGCTTCCCATTTTTTTAAGGGCAAGTTTCAACTTCAAATTGTGCGTGACTGCTCCGTCACTCAGCTAATTTAGATAAAAATAGTCCCCAGAATATTCGTGTTGGGGAACCTAAAACCCTAAAGTATACAGAAAGTAGTTTCAAGCATTCATCTGTTTTTAACAAGAAAGCCTTGGTTTTCGGGTGGGTCAGGGAACACAGAAATTTTCAAAAATTATGGTAACGTTTACTTTTTTAAATTGGGTGATGGATACAGGGAGTGTTCTGTTGATTCATTATTTGTGATCCTCTATATAAATATATCTCTTCCATATTTAGCTTTCTTGAGGTGGAATTGACATACAATAAACCATATAAAGTGTACAGTCTGGTAAGTTCTGACCTAGGTACATACCTGTGACCCCATCACTTTAGTCATCACCCCCGAAAGTTTCCTCTTGCCCCTTTGTGATCCTTCCCTCTTGCCCTCCCCATCCCAAGGCAACCACTCATCTGTTTTTTGTCACTAGAGACGAGTTATGCATTTCCTAGAATTTTGTGTAATTGGAATCAGGCATAATGTGCTTTTTTGTCTGACTTCTTTTACTCAGCATAATTATTTTGAAAGTCAGCAACATTGTTGCATGAATCCATTGATTTTGTCCCTTAGTAGTATTCAATTGTATGGATGTATAACAGTTTGTTTATCTGTTCACCTACTGATGGACATTTGGGTTGTTTTTGACTGTTACAGATTGAGCTAATGTGAGTATCAGCATACAGGTCTTTGTATGGACAAAAGCTTTCATTTCTCTTGGATAAATTTTTAGGAGTAGGATATATGGGTCACATGGTAGGCAAATATTTCACTTTTTTTTTTTTTTTGCAAATATTTTTTTTAAGAAACTGCCAAACTGTTTTCCGTAGTGGTATACCATTTTATATTCCCACTGTAAGCGTACGAGAGATTTAGCTGTTTCACATCCTGACCAATACTTGGTGTAATTGTCTTTTTTTATTTTAGCCATTTTAAAAGGTCTGTAGTAGTCTCCCCTTGTACTTATAATTAGCATTTCCCTGATGATTAATGATGTTGAGCATCTTTTAATGGACCTATTTGCCATTTGTGGTCTTATTTGGTAAGGTCTCTGTTCAGATCTTTCACTCAGTTTTAAATTGGGTTATTTTCTGGGGCGCCTGGGTGGCTCAGTCAGTTAAGTATCCGACTTCGGC